AAGTTTCATCTTCTGAATCCAAGTCTTATATTTCCTTCTAAGTGTTGAATGCTTTTTTTCATGTATGCTTACTGTTTTTCTTCTATGCATGCTTCTATACTTAGAATATTTTCTACATTTCTTCAAAGCACAGCTTAACTGTGTAATCACCTTAGGGTGGGGTACTGTAGACACCCCAATTTTAACCACTCGTAAGACTCAGGCGCTTTATTCCGAACACCCGATGATGAAAGTTACACTGGGCAATCTTTTGAATTCTCAGCGAAGAAATTTGGATTCAAGCTCTAATCCCGAACCTTGCACCTCATTTTGGCCAAACTATTTTAAACCAAAACCCTCTTTCAAAATATTTGTCCAAATGCTTCTATGATGTTCCGAGGCTCGCATTTCATTTAAAACTGCACTTGTCGGTAAACCGAGAAAGGACAAAGTGGAAATAAATGAAAGGAAGGTGAACTCTTTGAAAATAAAAAAATATTTAAAACATCTTGGTTAAAGGTTTGGAGTTGAAGAAAATTGGAGGTAAGGGAAGGAAACTAGTTGGGGAGAAGATAGGTATAAAACCGTTAAGAGAAAACTGAGTAGCCTTCATTAAATCAGGCTTATCTCTTTCTACACTTAGACTTTAGCTGTGAGGCCACCACCATTGGAAAGAGGACTTCCGGGGCTTCATTTTAGACTCAAGAATCTCCTCAAACCGAGTCCGGATGAGTGAGATATGGCTGTTTGAAGTTAGGCATAAATCCGATTAGGTCAAAACTAAGCAACCTTCACTAAAATAGACATATCTCTTAGCACAATTAGAATTTAGATGTGTGGGCACCTCCATTGGAAAGAAGACTTCCGGGGCTTCATTTTAGACTCAAGAATCACCTGAAACGAAGTCTAGATGATGGAGATATGCCTGTTTGAAGTCGGGCCTGAATGCAGATTCTGAAGTCCGATCAGACCTCACCGAGGTCATGCCGCCCCCTTTGACTTTTCAAAGCTATCCAAATGTGCTGATATTTTGAGGAGTAGCAGCTCAAGGCCTATAAATAGAAGGCTCAAAGTAATGTTTTAAGGGAGAAAAAAAACATTATCAAGAGTTAAGAAAACAATATCAAGTTAGAAATATCATATATTAAAGAGAAATATCAAGTTAGAAATATCAACAAAGAGAAATATCAAGGTGTTAGAAGTTGAAACCATCTTTGTTCTTCCTTGTTCTTCCATCCATCCATACCATACAAGAGCTTGAACTTGGATCTTGATTTGAGAATTGAAAATCATACTCAAACTTGAGGATGCTTTGGAATCAAGTTTGATTTACAACAAGAACACTTCTCTACAAGAGGTAAAGCCTCCTTTGTTCATCTTTTTCTTGTGTTTTCATATTATTTTGGTACTGTTTTGGGACTGTTTTGAGGGCTGAAACTTGTGATTAAAAGCTACCCAAAGGAGGAGGGGCTAATCACCCTTCTTTGAACCTTATTCCAAGCTTAAATCCTTGTGTTTCCCACTTGTTTTCGCTAATTTTTCCCACTGTTTTGGGGCTGATTTGAGACTGTTTTTCAACATCTAAAATATGTGATTTGAAGTTGTAAAAGTGGAGGGGTTAGCCAACCTTCCTTATACTTGTTTACTAACTTGATCCTATTTAATTTTGCTCGCTTTCTATAGCTTAATTTCAGCACTATTGTATGCCATTAGGGGACTGTTTAATTTATTTCAATGATTTATGTTTTAAATATCAAGTTTGTTTGTACTAACCAATTAATCAACTTCGCAGATCATCTCTGCAACCTCCCTCCATTCTTTGCTTATTTCGATTAAAAAGTTGTGAAAAATTAAGATTGTGGTTCAAGTATAAGAAATGAACTCTTCTATGCTTAATGGTTTAATCTCTTTGGAGATTCACTACCAAAGGCATAAAATGTTTTATGCTTAGGAGGTTCATTACCAAAGGTATAAAACGTTCTATGCTTAATGATTTAATGTCTTTGGAGATTCACTACCAAAGGCATAAAACGTTTCATGCTTAGGAGGTTCATTACCAAAAGTATACAACACTCTATGCTTACTGATTTAATCTCCTAGGGGATTTACTACCAAATGCATAAAACGTTCTATACTTAACGGTTTAAATTCTTTGGAGGTTCAATATCCCAAATGTATACATGTTCTTATACTAAAGTACAATCTTTTATTTTTCATTTCTATTTATTCATCAGTGTGTTTACTTTTAAGGGACTAATTGACCCTTAGAAATCACCAAGGAAAGTGTCATTATCACTTATTATCAAGTTTGGATATCAAGTCATTATCACTCAAGTTTGGGTTTTTCTAAGTCATTATCACTCTTTTGAGTTTGACTAGTCCTTGTTGCACATCTTGAGTTTGACTTGGAATCTCTTATCGCTTATAAATAAGTTTGACTCTTCTTTTATAATTTCCCCTGAAGAAAATAAGATTTGTTTCTCGGGTTAAGTTGATGCTTGTTTCTCTTTATTGCGTTTTGGACTTAGTGGACGTAAATATCACTTTGCACAAACAGGAGAAAAGATAAAGAAATGGAAAGGTAATAAAAAAGGCTAATAAAATTGGTTAAAATTGGATTACAACCGACATATTGAACCAATATGATTAATTGAATTCGGTCGGACATTATACCGAGTTTATTGTGTCAAGGCTTGTCTTACATCAATTCATGATAATTTGATGAACCTTGAAGTGTCCCTACTTCCCTTCTTGAATTCACTTTATGATAGGAGGGAGGGGTGGTTGTTTATTCATTGAATTTATTGATCATTGTCCAAATTGTATCTGAGATCATCAAGCAATCAACTTGCTAATTGATGGTTTTGGAGATGATTCCAACCCTCTCTTGAGTTTTTTTATAATAGAGAAGGGTAAAAAAAAAGACAAACATGGCTAGGAATACCCTGTCTGCACTGTTTCACCTCAGGTACAAACAAGCACAGCTTGGTTGCCTGCAACAAACACTATTTTGGAATTTGTTAGATGCATTGAGAAACAATCAGATCGACCTTGACAAATGCATGAAGTATGATGATGTTGTTGTGCATGTCCTACAAACGTACAAAGCTTCAAAAGATTCCTGCTACATTGGGGAGAAGAAGATGAACATATACAACAGCGACATCAAGTTGATTTTTGGTGTCGACTGTGGCAGCAAGCCGATGGACATATCATATGGTGCAAAACCAAAGACTTGCATTATAAAAAAAAGATGCAAAAATGTCAGCCGATTAACTTCAAAATGGATACGCACCCTTTTGACCGAGGCATTGAAAGGCAAAAAGAAAGATGACAACGAAGAAGTCGCCCGACTAGTGTGCATGTATGCTTGCCAAAAGTTTTTTTCTCAACAAGCAGAGAGACAATAGGATGGGGCTACTACGCACATATGGTCCCATTGGAAAGCATGCAAGAATATGATTGGGCGAAGCAAATTAGAACAACGTTGACATCGTCCATTTCCCAAAATAACAAAAAGCCAGCAAAAGTCACCGACTGTGTCATGTTATTGATGGTAAGTACCCATGTTGTCAAATAATACCATTCACATGTCCTTCAGTGTTGTTTATCTAAGCCAACTGTGAACATTTACAACAGTGCCACTGATGTGAATGTCCATAGGCACTTATGTTTCACAGATGTGAAAGTTCACATCTGAACCACTGATGCGAATGTTCACATTCACTCATAATATAGTACTGTGAATGTTCACAACAGTGCCACTGATGTGAATGTCCATAAGCACTTTTGTTTCACAGATGTGAATGTTCACATCTGAACCACTGATGCGAATGTTCACATTCACTCATAAATATACTAATGTGAATGCTCACAACAGTGCCACTGATGTGAATGTCCATAGGCACTTATGTTTGACAGATGTGAATGTTCACATCTGAACCATTGATGTGAATGTTCACATTCACTCATAATATACTACTGCGATGTTCACAACAGTGCCACTGTTATTAATGTTCACATATGTTGACATTACTATGCAAATGGTAAATAACAATATGTGTTTGTTGTTTTATTGAAGTATTGGTTGTGTAAGCACACAACTATCCTACAACCTCACAAGCCCAATGCTTTTCCTCGCTGTGTGAAGTGGGATCTAACTGCTTTACAAAAGAAGATGAGAACCACCTCTTTGGCTGATTTGGGTTTTAATGAGGTACAGCCTTCAACTACTGATCAAAACATTCACATTATAACACCACCCAAATATATATGTTAAGTAACATTACTTTTTTAATTTTCAGGTTAATGCCGGTGAACTCTTTGCAATCCCAACAGAATTACAAAAGTTCAAGCGTAAAACATTGAAGGTAGAGCCCGAAATTTATGAACCAGCCACAACATCTCCTAACCTATCTGACATGAAGGAAGAACAACATAATGGCAGCAACTCCCACTTTTCTGGGGATGGAGTGGAGCTAAAGGACAGTGATGATGACATTCACATTCCATTCAGTAGCCCATATGATGACAGAGCTATTGTCATACCAAACACAAAACAACCTGATTTCATTGATGTGCTTATCAAAGAAAATCGGGAGGCTTGGGGCGTCATAAGGCAATGGGAAGCAAAGTACAAACACCTTCAATTTTCATGGGAGTTAAGGGCAAGAGTCATAGCTGATCTTGAACATATATTGTTCAACCAGTCCAGCCCACCCAACATGAATACCGAAATAAAAAAGTGCATGGAGCAGAAGGATGAAGAAATAAAACACTTAACGCAGCTGGTCATCGACTTAGAATGCGAGAAAATAATGCTTCAGGACCTTTACGATGACCAGTCAGTCCACATTGTCACACAGGCTGTGGCACAGAAGCAACCCCCTAGCCCAATGCAACACAATATCAGCCCACCTTCTAGGGTGAAGCGTATAAAGGAAAAAGATTGAAAAGAACATCGCTTGCCTAACTTCCAGTACCTAGACTTACCTGGCCGAAAGCAGCCCCATACAGTCGAAATGGTTGAAGATGCCGAGAAACACCCACCAGCGAAGCAGCCAAAAAAATTAACCCTGACCAACAAGTTCAAAGTCTGGAGCAAGATGTCCAAACAAGACAAGCAAAAAGTCCAAGCTTTACAAAAGAGTGGAGGCGATGAGTAAGTGGTTGTACAAACACCTCATGTTAACATTCACATTCCACAATTGTCAATATTCATCACTGTGCTTATTTGTTTTGGTTTGTTTAGATCTGTGCAATGTAAATATTCACATTGGTTTGTTCATAATGCACAGGCTGCTGGTGTGGAAAGGAGATTCAAAGGCTACACATGTGTATTTTGATGACATTGTCAACCTTATCAAGGAGGAATCGATACACAGTAATGTATGCCATTACAAAGATGATTTACTCTTCATGCATATACGCATAGAGACACACACACACCCACAACCACAGACACACATTCTTCACCCACCACAAATAAAATAATATGACCCATGTTTGTGCAGCTCATAGATGCATATGCCGAACTATTACATGAACAACAAGAGGTCGTCAACCTAACTTCGGATGAAGCGCCATTCATCTTCACGAGTATGTGTTTGGTAAAATCTATCATTCCATTATTTCTAATGTTAATGTGAAACTTCACAGTCCATTAATTACTTGTCTAATGTGTACAGAAAGTGATACGAGAGTACCATCCTCGCAAAAGGAGTAAACACATTGATGCACATGTCAAAAACTACCAAGGAGAGAGATACCTACTATTCCCATTGCATCATGAGTACCACTGGACGATAGTTGTGTATGATGCTAAAGACAATTTGTGGAGGCATTACAACTCATTGCGCCCAAGGACAAGCATACATGACCCACATATCGACCAAGCACAGGAAGTTGTAAGTGGCTATTTTTGAACACAAATATGACTTGTTCTCATGCATTAAATGACTGTACACACACATATGCTTGTTGCTGCCTAATTTGAAATTCCTTACACAGAGGAAGTACATCGAGCATGTTGTGCGCGTTATTAGCGAGTCATCACCACTGTGCACTAAGTTAGGAGGCCAAAATCCATCACAACCAATCATAGTAGTTGATGTCTGTCCTCAGCAAGGTGACGACTCGTAAGCCTCAATAACCATTATGCAAACATACATTTTTTACAAATCCTCCACAACCATTATGTAAACATACATGTCAACTGCTAATCAAAACCATTTAGCTTTTACAGAGTGGACTGCGGACCTGCAGTATGTTACATCATGCGGGCGCACATATACCATGAAGAAATTATGGGCAACCTCACTAGTGCAGAATGGTGTGGACTACGAGATTTATTAGTACATAGTTTTTTGAATCATAAGAAATCAGAGCATCATTAAAACCTATAGGTGGGGGGTGTCCACCTACAAACTAACCAACACTCGATATGAATGTTAATATGGAATGCTTTGACATTTTGACACAACAACTGATTGTAAAACAGTGATACAACATCTATTAATAGGAAAAAGCCTCCTGCGAATTTTGAACTACCTTTGGTGTTGTTATGTTTTACAGATGTGAATGTTCACAGTTGCACCATTAATGTGAATGTTCACATTCACTTACGATATCCATACTGCTGTGTTGTTATGAGTGTAATTTATGTGATTGTTTGGACCCGATTGTTCTATAATACACAGATTTTGTGCAGGAGTGTACACTTGGTCTACATGACATCATTACAGATCACATACGCATGTGAATATTCTCATTTGTTCTTGTTTCTAACAGTTGTGAATGGTATTTTTTTCTGCCAAATGTGAACATTCACTTATGATATTCACATGCACTAATGTTTTACAGATGTGAATGTTCACAGTTGCAACACTGATGTGAATGTTCATGCTCACTTATGATATTCATACTGCTGTGTTGTGATGAGCATAATATATGCGATAGTTTGAACCCGATTGTTCTGTAGTACACATATTTTTTGTAGGAATGTCTATATGACATCATTACGGATCACATACACATGTGTGAATATTCATATTTGTTCTTGTTTCTAACAGATGTGAATGTTATTCTTCTCTGCCAAATGTCAACATTCACTTATGATATTCATATTCACTAATGTTTGCAGATGTGAATGTGCACAGTTAATATAATAATGTGAATGTTCATATTCACTTATGATATTCATAATGCCGTATTGTGATGAGCATAATTGATGCGATTTTTGGAACTCGATTTTTCTGTAATACACATACTTTGTGCATGAATGTACACATTGTTTGCATGACATCATTACGGATAACATACACAGGTGTGAATATTCACATTTCTTTTCATTCATAACAGTTGTGAATGTTCACACCATGTCAATCTCTATGCATGTGAAAGTTCACATCACAACTTATATTCATGTCAACATTGACAACAATAAGGTAAAAAAATTCAACCCATGTGCAAGTTTTCACATAATATGATTCTTTTACGTAAGTGTAAATGTCTACATCATGAATTCATCATCACAACTTTAACAAAATATCAGTTTCGTACCCAAAAAGAAAAAGGAAAAACACAAATGAATTACTAAGTTTGCCAAACTATTATTTTGCTTACCAACACAACACAATCTTATTTCAAAAATGAATATAAGAATCCAATGTAAAACACAATGTTCAAATGAAAAATGTACATCCTATATCGGCTCCTTGCATGATTTCCGATTATGGCTCCCTAACTTCTCACATCTCCCGCACCTTATTTGCTTCAGTTTCTCACCCCTTGATGGGATCCTATTCTTTTTTGGCCTTCCGGGTGGTCTTTTCACAGTTGGCAGTTGTAGTTGTTGTTGTTGAAAGATGTGAACATCCACATTGATTGAAAATGGTTTGATAATCAAATTATTCCAGATGTTATTCGGTTGTTGTTCAATGCTGTGAACATTCACATGGTTTGGAAAATGTTTTGGCCA